CCCTGCCTCCCCAAAGCCCGCCCGGGCCTCTCGGGGCGCCTGGGCCACAGGCGTGATCACACGGGGGCGGCCACGTCCGCTTCTTCGCCGGCGTCCCTCCTCCTGCTTTTAGAACTGGCCATTGTTCTTCATCGTAGTCCCTTTGAGAGTCTGTGACTTTGAAATTACCACGACCTTGTTGGTCATTCTTCAAAACCGCTTTCCAAAATTCTGGAAATACGACTGAGGATGGGCAGGGGTCCCTCCCTCTGCTCTTGCCTCCCACTGACGGTGTCTCTCAGGCACAGGACAGTCCCCTTGGGCCGGCTGGCACCAACTCTAGGGTCGCTAACCCTTCTTCCTCTTAATTCACAGAGGTCAGCACAAAGGCCAGAGTTTATCCGATGTGCTCACAGAATTTACACAACGGTCACAGCAGGCTGTGCGCCACTGAATTTAAAACAAGCAGTACTTTCACTAGGATTTCCCATTCCCCAACATGACGAGGAATACCTTTCTAAATAAAGACAACTGCACCTGAAGAGTCTCCAGGAGAGTCAGCGCCTGGCCATTCCTTCCTCCTAGAGGGACTGCTATGATTACTGTTTTTTACAAAATGTCTCTAGTTTTTAAATGGCCCGTAAATGACTCGGATTTTAGGAAAACAGGCTGGATTATTCATTTGGCTGGATCATGTATCCTTGTCACGTCTTCTTCCTTCATTTACCTTCCAGAAAACAGCGTCCACTGTAATTGTTTTTCTGCTTCCTAGGTTTCCCTGGAGATATGTATATTATATTGTTCAGTAGTGATAACACCTTTCTACTAAGTCTGTGTATTTCAGTTCAGGTAAATAAAACGAATTTAAATATTCTTCCACTAAAATTTTAATTTGCTGTAAAGCTATACTGGTCAAGTGAAAAATACACGTACTTCTTCTTCCCTAATAAACTGTAACCTCCTAGTGAAGAAGATTTAGGTTTGAATTTGGATGCTGCATAGTGCTTAGCACAGGGTTTTGGCGTTAACAGAATATTAAATGAATGACTTTACTCAAGGCAGCTGACATCTTAAATAAGACTACTAGCATCTGAAACGAAGTGACCTCTGACCTGGTTATTATGCAACCACGTGTTTCTGTGTTGAACAGAGCAAATCGTTTTTCTATAATTGTACTTAAATGCACCCCTGTAGGAGAAAAGGTTATGGGCACACAATACATTTCTTCTTTACTGGTCCATGTACATAGCTCAGTTGCTGCTGTTCTTGTTTGTTCTTAGCGTGCACACGTGGATCTCATGAGAAAAATAATGCGATGAGAAAAGGACCTCCATCCATGGACCAGTCTAAAGTAAACTGTGCAAAGGAATAAACTACATTGCTTTTAGTAGTATGTTCACTCAACAACAAACTGCTGTCTATGTCAAAAATTCACATTAGGGGTTCTTTTCACGGTTATGAGATTAAAATTAAACTTCCAAAGAGCCCATTCTTTCCATTGGTCCCATACCCGTCCTTTCGATTCTCTTCACCACCATCATAATCCTCATCGCTATCGCCAGCATCGGCAGCAAGAACAGGCGCTCTTTTGTCCCTGCTGGCGAACGACGGGAGACGCCCGTGCGCGCGCTCGAACACGCCGCATTCTATGGTTTCAGCGTTCCTTCGTATTATAGCAGGAAATCATTGTCTTTGGTTATCTGGGCACGAATAGGCTTTGAAATGATTCACTCGTGTTCAGCTGGCTTTGGAGTTTTATTGTTTTGCTAGTCTCATTTTCAAAAAATACCCAATAAAATTATTCTTAATTATTGGTCCTACAGGAGAGAATGGGAATAACCTCATTTTATAAAATACCTATTTCATATTTGGTGTCAGCCGTCTCCAATTAAATCCACACCTCTAAGCACATTTCAGTATGACAATAATTGGCTTCTGGTACAGACCGCCACCTTATATTTATAATCTGATCTTCCTCTATCACTTTGATATTTAAATTTAAAGTTATAAACCAGCTCTGACCATTTGACTTCATAAAAGTCAGTCCAAAGGCAAATGTTTATACTGCATTTCATCTATCACACTAGAACCAAACCCCTTTGGGGATTTATCTTTGCAAATGCTGATGAAAAAAAGAAATATTTCCATAAGAATGTGATTATACTTACAAAGGGAAGGGAAAGATTGCAGAACACTTCACTTCCCTGCGTATCTGAGATTCTCTGAAGTTAACCGGTCACAGCGCATCGTGATGGGGCCGGGCGCACGGCACAGTCTCTGTGCGCATGGGGAGGCCTTGATTTTGGGGCTCCAAACCCCTGATCATGCGTGGACCAGTGTGCCAATCACTTAGAACTTACTCGCTCACGAAAAAAGCCAGCAAAACAAGTGACCGGAGCTGTAGGTGTCTTCTGAAGTCACGGTAATGAACACCAAGGATTCCTGCAAATTCATACCTCCAAGATGCAGTGCACCTGATACACGCGTATATTCAGTAACATTTAGAAATATAATTCACTTGGAGGAAAGTGTAAAAACATACCGTACTGATATCAAATGCTATGAAGAATAAAATTTGCCATATGGCAATATGGCACATGAGGCTAATTTATTTCTAAGAAAACAGTATTTTGTATAAACGGAATTCAATCTGAGAATGACAGAAGTATGTATTTATGTGAGAGGTATAATCAAAACCAAGTATTTCTGTTGGAGTTCTAGGGAATGGCTGTGGATACTTCCTCTTAAAAAAAAAAAAGGTCCTCACTTAGAACAGCCTTGCAGATCTTATCATTTAAAGGAAAATACAGTAGGTGCACTTGTCCCATGATTTTTGTACCCTAAAACACTTATGTTTTATAATCATAATCAATTGCCATACATTACAAACTCTAATTGTCAAGGCATTTCCTTAGGAATGAGTCCGGCTGGTCGTCTGGACGGGCTCCGTGGCAAAGGGGAGGCGGAGCCTCTCCTGCGGACTTGAAGAGCTCAGTGGCGATGAAGCCTGAGGTGGTAAATGTGCTTTCTCCAACAGGAATATTTTAAATCACGTCAAAACCGGAGGTTTATGGGGAATCCTCTTCAGACACTTGGATTTACTTCAGGCTGTTCATGTAGAATAAGAAGTTAAGGGAGTTACAGGAAATGAGCACTCCAGTCCCTCCTATTACAGAAAATCACATGGCCATGTCCACCAGTCTGTGGCCACCATCCCGAAACCGCCGGTCAGTTCACGTCTCTGACTTCACCGCGGCAACTGGCAACTAGTTGCTAGTCCCCTAACTAGTCTCACCACGTCCCACTTTGCTCCACTCTGACCCGCAGGCAGGCAGTGATGTTTCTAGACGGTGGGTCTGAAAAACAGTATCACTCGCTTGCTGAATGGCACTTCCAGGGCGTTTCCCATATCCCTTAGAATGAAAACCGGCAGGGCAACGGGCAGGCCCTCTTCAGCCTCGTGGGGGTCAGGCACGCTGCCCGCTAATGACGGCACCTTGGCACAGAGAATGTTTCCAGCTGAAGGAGTTTGAGAGGCAGCGCAGGACGGCCGCTTGGATCTGCCCCACACTCCTCCCCGGAAGCAGCAGGTCCTAAACCCCTCGTGTGACAGGGCCCTCCCCCCACCCAGAGGTAAGGGGCAGCCTTCTCTCTGAGGACGAAGGGACCCCGAGCAGAAAGCAGGCCTGGCTAAGTCTCCCCCCGCTGATGGCCTCTCCCTCCGGACCCAGCATTACTGCATGTGCCACCGGCGCGTCACGAAACCTAGCGGAGAAACACCCGGGCCTGCGCCTGGAGTCTGCCTTTCCGTAGCGAGGCCCCGGTGTCACAGGGAACTTTGATCAGTCTGCATGCTTTCCTGTTCATCGATCTCTGCTGTTCGCTTTTCCCACCCAGCCGGAGGCCCTAAGAGGGTCGAGGAAAACTTTTCCTCCCCTCTAAGCCTCACTTTCCGACTCAACGCCGTCTTCGCCCCCTCGCCCTCCGGAAAAGAACCTCAGTTCTTCGCAGGGGTTCTCTCCCCCTGCCAGGCCCCTGCGCACGTGCCTTCTCTCCCATCTGTGCCACCGGCCAGCTACGCACATCCCCCGGGAGCCTCCCCGGTTCCTTCCACCTTAGGTCTGACCCGTGGCGCCTCTGCCCTGGAACCTGTTACCCTTTACTATCATCTTTGTTGCCATTGGCTCTTTTCCTCGCTGGCTGGCTGTCTCGCCCGCTCTAGTCTCCCCAGGAGCCAGCACGGAGCCTGTGGTCGTAGTGCTCAAGTGTGATGCTCAATGAATGAAAAATGTCAGTATCAGCTAGCTAACCTGTCAAGATATACAGTATTTTAGTTTATAGCACCTTTAAACTGACAAGCGCTATAGACTATAAAGCATATCGGTTTCATACGTTCATTAATTCAGCCAGGGATAAGGTTAAAAATGCATGTTCAACACACACCCTCTAAGAGAATGCTTAGAGTACGCTGCATGAAGAAAGCAATAGTATAAAATTCATTTAAAACAGTAACTGCTCTGGGGAACCGTTCCTAGAGCGGCCACGGAAGACGAGGCTGGGCGGACCGTGGCACAGAGGGGACGGTCCCTGGACGGACTGCTGCTCAGCGTGACCGCTGTGTCTGTCCTCACTTTGCGAGCCCTTCAGCGTCTAAGAAAGGGAGAGAAGGAAGGGAGGCAGGAGAAGCACTAGGAAGCCTTAATAAGCACTTGTAAGGAATTCAGATCCCTCCAGGACAAGAAACGGAGGGGAAAACAAGCTAGACCCAGGGTGGCACGTGGAACTCGGTGCCCCGAGGCCCTGGCGGCTTGTGTGGAAGGAGAAAGAAATCAGTCACCCCCACCCTTGTGTCAGTGGGCGGGGTCAGCGTCACTCTGCTGCCCCGCAAGACCATGGCATCGAGCCACCAGGAGCTCTCGAATGTGACACCTGTTTCCTTAATGCTCTCCCAACATAGGACAGACAGAAAGTGGGAGAGGAGATAACGTTTTAGATGAGGCAACACCCAAATCACTAATCACCTGTTCGTAATACCGGACGTTCTGCTCGGCCATGTCTGAAAACGCAGACTTGATGTCATTTCGCATGTTTTGTCCCCATCTTTCCCAGTCCGCTTTCAGCGCGTTGTTAGCGCATTCCATCTTGTCTTCAAGTTTTCCGATCTCCTCTGTAAGCTGAATCAGACACAAAGAGAGAGAAATTGATCTATAGATTCTGGCCTTTGGTGTGTTATGACTTCCCTAGAGATGGTGTCGTCCAACCTGAGGGCAAAGGGACCCATCCATCCGCCTGTCCAATTTCACGCAAGACAGTGGGCAACGGAGGCGGGTTCTACCTCCAGGCGTCCGACAGCTGCCCCACGCCCCTACGGCAGGCTCAGTGGGACGCTTCCTCCTGCGCTCACCTCACCCGCCAACCTCTGAAACGTAAGCCGTCAGTGTATTGTTTGGTATTTGGCATATTTATATTTATATAAATGCTTATATACTTATACATATTTCGCACCCACTTACATTTACTCACACGTTCAGCGTATATTTAGTACGTGTTTTTCTAGGACAGAACACAGGTGGGTAGGCTGATCGGCGCTCGTCGGGTTTAAGACAAGTCGCGTGTTAGACCATCCCCAGTTTAAGTCCCACCTCTGGCTTTTACGAGCTAAGGGACATTGGGTAGGACTCCCTGTTGAAGCCCTAGTGTCCTCATATAAAATGAGTGCTTATACAAAGGTAACTATCGCACAGGAATTTTTATAAAATTGCATGATCTAATGAACATGAGTTGATTTGCGCAGTGCCTGACGATGCCTCCTCAATGTTACCTTTTGTTATAGCTCCACCACCGCCGCCAAAACCACCGCCGCCAAAACCACCGCGGTCGCCTCTGCCTCCTTCACCACCACCACCACCATCATCATGATAAAACTGAAGCTGACTCCCCATCTGCCCCAGTAGTTTGGTCTCTGGAAATAAGCCATCCCTCTGCCAGGGTCTGGGTCTTGTGTCAACTTCTAGTGCTATTTCTTAACCTCTTCTCACCAGTGTGGAAAACGATGCATGTGCTTTAAGTATCTATGGCCAATTCTTGCCGTTTGTGTGGTTATCCCTGAGTACTTTTGCTTGCTTTTATCACTTCATCATTATCTTAGTTGGCAGAGAAGACATGAGGCATTTCCCCCCACACTGAACTGGCTCCCCAGGATTTCAGTGCTAGGAAGCTCTGATCATCAGCACACAGAACTCTACCTTTCCTAACAATATAGAAAAGCATATTATTAGATGTCCTTCCCTTTAGTTGACTCCAATGTCTGCACATTCCTTGGGACAGGAGCTGTGCTTTCAGAGGGTGCCGTCCAGCCTCTGAACATCTGCTGTCAGCAGAAGTTAACCCAAGTGGGAGCGGAAGACAGCACAGAAGCCTGGCCGTCCAAAGGCGCCCCTCCGACCACACAGCAGCCGTCGGTCACTCCAAAGGGGAGCTCAGCTCATGGTCTTCACCGGAAAATAGCAAGGAAAAGGCTGCTGAAAAGGATCAAAGCTCTCGTAACTCTTTTCACAAACACAGGAGGCTCTTAGGGCCTCTGTTGGTGGAAACAGGAGAAGCAAGCAACCTTTTTTATTCCCCAGTAAAATGTAATACTAGAGTAAGGAATAAGAGGTTGTAAGCGAGTGAAAAAAAGATGTATATTTAAGAGCAAGGCTAATGGGTCGTTTTGGCCTCAGTTATTACATAGAGTTAGAAATTAGCCCCACCATTAAATGAAAACCATTAATACGGAGCGCTCAGGCAAACAAGTGTCCCTGTCCGAAGGTGGGTCCCTACAATGGTCCCAGCAACAGCAGCTGGAGCAATGGCCACCTCGGAAGCCTGACATTATTTCATTTCATCAGCATAATAATGCTGCGAATCTGGTGGTATTAGCACAGCACTCTCACAAGCTGGGACGCCGCCTGCCCAGAGGAAGGACAGAAAGAGATCACGTGGCTGTCGGGGCAGGACAGAGGTTCCGTCCCCTCTGCCTGCGCAGGGGCAGGTCCTCCCTCCACACTGACGGAGCAGAGCCCAGCCTGCAGGGCGGGGCGGGGCGGGGGCGGCTCTCAAGGCCGAACTGATTCAGCTCTGACCTCTCGCACTCTGCAATCTGTGAGGTCTCAACTATGCGAAGACAAAGCAAACCCCAAGGCTGCCACGCAAAGAGGACCGTGGTCTGTATCCTAATGGCGGGAAAAATGAAAGTGGTCCAGTGGCTGGGAGGCTACTACCGACGGGGGGTGAGCGAGCCCTCGATTTATTATCCAGGTTTTTAATTTGGTGTTTTCATGCTTCAGTTGCCCTAGGATCCCTTCCAGGACAAAAAAAAAAAAAAAAAAAGTAGTGATGTGGCTCCTTTGAAAGTCGTTAGACTCGCTCCTATGAAGTGTCTGTTGTCCATGGTATTAATAAGTTGTTTTTGGCCCCTCCTCTTTAAAAAGTTCATCGTCACACTCCCTTCTAGGTCAGTGGCCTTAGAGCCTGGCTCCGAACTCCCCTACCAACAGCGTGACCTTAGACAAGGTCAGTTTCTCCAAGGGCGAAGTTTCCTCATCTGTAAGATGAGGAGAAAGGAAAAGAATCTACTCCATAGAATTGTTTTGAATAATGCGTGTGAGGCATTGTTAGCCCAGGTTACGTTGGAGGGACACTCTAGAGAGGTTATGAAAGGATTACTGATAGGGCCTTGTCGATGCCCTGGCATGGGACAGGTGAAATGCCTGCTCACTCACCTGTCCTATGTCAAGGAATCCCTACTGGGGACTTGCGTGAAAGAGGAGGACCAGGCACACAGAAACAAGGAGACGCATCTTTAGTAGCTCAGCAAGCTCCCCAACACTTCCCTCAGGACTTGGTGGCTGGACTGGACTATACGGCCAGGCTAGAAAGTCCATGCAATGCCGCTCGGTCATGTCTGTTTCCGAGTCGGGGGAGACAGAGCCAAATGGTCCAGAAAATACCTCCAGTTTAAGGAAGTGGGTTGCCACGTCATGTTGGTAAATTTTTCCACTGTAATCTAAGCAATATCAGTATCTTGACATTTATGGAATGATAAAATTATTCCCAACACTCCAAAGGTACTTTACGGGTATATGTCCTAGTAATTAAAACACTTGTCCAGCTGTCCAGGTTTTTTCCAAAAACCACAATATTCCAAACGTTCTCTTAGGCTTTAGTTTTTCTTACATCTCAGAGATTAGGGATCAGTTTTCAGAAGATATATTAGTTCATTCCATGACTGTTTGTTGAGCACTTACTATGTGCCAAGCACCATCCCACTCTGTGACATATTTTACTTCTTTTCTCTTTTAGTTGTTGTAAAATCCTCACTTGAGGATATGTTTACTGATCTTAGAGACAGAGGAACGGAGAGAGAGAAACATCGATGTAAGAGAGAAACATCAATCTGTTGCCTCCCATATGTGCCCTGACCAGGGATCAAACCCACAACCTTTTGGGGTCTCAGCGGTGTCCAACCCACAGCCTAGGGGCTGTATGAGGCCCAGCACAAAATTGTAAATTTACCTAAAACATTATGAGATCTTTTTGTGATTACGTGTCGCCATGTATTTAACGTGCGGCCCAAGACAACTCTTCTCTGTCCAGTGTGTCCCAGAGACGCCAAAAGGTTGGATGCCTGGTAGGGGACGATGCTCCAACCAGCCGAGCCAGCATTCCAGGACCTCGTCCAAGTTTTCACACTGATTTGGCAGAAGCAAATCTTACCATCAGGAAGCCCGCTCCACACTGAGACCGTGTCGCGGTGAGACCGGGCCATGTGTTTCTCAGCCTGGGATCCTGCGTCCCCCTGAACACCCCGGGACGGTCTGGACTGCCCAAAGCGGGACTAAACACGCCATCTTCTTAAGGACGCTTTGCAGACAGCATATAAAATATTTTTAAATGAACACAAACCTAAATACATTCATAGGAGAACTTTAAAATGTGAGCCCACGTCAGCCCCTGACGGGGTGGCTCCCTCCTCCTGCTGGGGTGCAGGTTCCAGCTTCCCTACTTCCAAGAAAGTACTCGTTTCTGGTAAAAATGTTGGCTCTACACACACCCTGAGAATACGCGTCAGAAGCAAACCCGCCCGCCCGCCGGCTAGAAGCCCTTGCCACGGCAATGCCGGGGGCGACCTCTGCCATGATCCCCACGGGTTTTGTCCAAGTCTCATTTATAAAAATGGCAGACGGAGACCACAGCTTCCCCACAGTCTACTTCTGCTGCAGCAGCAGCAGCTGCCCGACAGTAGGAGAACACAGACCACTTTTTCAGTCCCTGTCCTCTCTCCCTGCAACACAGCCGTCCGGCGGGGACTCCCTTCTCTCTCGAAGAAAGGACGCCTTCCGCCGCCTGTGTCATGGCCTCGCCTTCCCCACTGATCCCCAAGAGGGTCCTCGCCACCCCGGGACTGCGCCTGCTTACAAGTTCGGCAGGGGAGCCCGTGGGCAGCAGCGACACTCAGAGGCTCTCCCACGGGACGGGGTCCCGCGGCTCAACAGCGAAGAGGGTCTGTGCTCCAGTGCATCACAGGGAGCGTCTTCCTCCAGCCCAGCTCCTGGCAATCACCCAGATCAGTCCAGGGTGCAGAGGCACCCGGGGCTAGCATGGCCTTGATCCAAGAGCTGACATTTCTGGTATGAGCAACGGTACTTACAAATTATTTCCCCCGGCTTTTTGAGGTGTGATTGACAAATCTGCGGATGCTGGCTGCGTACCGCCTGACTGATGATGATTCATTTTTATCCGGAAACACAGATACAAAAGTCCTGGAAAACTGAGCAAGCCAAATCCAGCCGGGGCCACGTTGATTCTACCCCAGGGATCCACGGTTGGTTAAAACGAAAAAAACCTCCATGTGAATCACCCCGTTAAGTACATAATGGAGAAAATCATACAATTATATTAGTAGATATGGAAAACCATTCAGTGAAATCCAACATCCACTTATGCCTCTGCCTCTTATCACACAGAAGTAGATAAGAACTGCCTGAATCTGATTAAATAGATCTATGTAAAAATACATAAACATACTATGGCGAGCACCATTATTACTAATGGAAAAAATCCTGAAAGCATTGACTTTAGAACTTGGAATAATACAGGGATGTCCCATTGCAAATTACACTAGAATGCATCT